GGGTTATCCTCTGGGCTGAGGCTGTGACTCATCTGAACAGCATAGTACATACCTTAAGGGTCAGCTATTGACTGTTTTCAGTACAGATCTACAGGGATCAGGTACACAGCATGTGGAAGAGGAGAAATCCATCTCTGAAGTCTTAAAGTCATTATGAGGCAGGGGTTTGAATCTGGTTCTTGTAGCTCTGCAGTTCATGATAGTTTTCTTGGGCATGAACTTTTCACAAAGTGGCCACCCATGTCCCAGTCATGTTTCTCCCTGGGGAGGGGCACTCGGCTTCCTTTTTTATCCTCTCAGGACTTCTCCTTCTTTGAATGCCTTGCTCCCAGTCCCTGCTTGGACTGGTTAGCATCTTTCCCTGCTCCTGAGACCCCCCTCAGGCCTTGAGGCTTTTTACTGGCTACCCTCCTCTAAATTCCCTTGATTCTGTACAGAAGTTGAGTGAAGGAACTCTCTAGAATCTCTGCATCATCTCTACTCTAGTGTCTTCAAGTTAGTTTATAGTCATAAGTACTTATGGACTTACAATTAACAATTATCTTATAAAGCACAGCTTACACCTTGCCTGTGACTTATAGAGGGCTCACCATTGTTTCCTGGTTGCTGCCTCAGGAGAGGTTCCTATTTTTGGGATATCCTGGTGTTCATTTTAGGAGGTACCAGCTCCTTTCATTGTGTCCATATCCATGACTCTAAAGGAGAGTAAGCTGACCCAAATGCAGAAAGTTTCAGCCCTCCACTAACAGGAACAGAAACACACACACACACACACACACACACACACACAGACTCACACTCATGGTCAGAAATATTGAATGAATGCTCCATCAAAACATTTTGAACATTGAACATTCAAGTGCTCCTTGAATCCTGGCCTTTTCCATTACTCCCCAGGTCAGAAGTGTCAGTTTGAAAGAAGAAAAAAAGAAAACAAAACTGAAGTAAGCTAATGTGTTAGGATGCTCAGAGCTGTTATGCCCGAGTTCATCCTGATGTTCCTATCCCACCTTTTAATGGTATTTTAGTCACAACAATTGTTTTTAACTCCTACCTCCCATCCCTCTCTTCTTCCTGCTCCCCCGGAGATGTTCAGTGGTTATAAGAGAAAAGCGGGCCTTTGGTTGAAGCATCTCCGCTTAGACAGTGGTTCTCAGGGCTCAGCCTCTGCCTTTCACCGTGTCATAACATAGGCTCAGCACCCAGCAGATTTGCCCAGATCCTACTCTCTGGGCAGTCTGATGCTTAGACTATGCAAAACCACTGGTAGAAATGGACATTTTAAATCCAGGCATTTAAACTGTAATCCTTTTAAATAATTCGTTTCCTGTTTGATGAGGTTTGCATAGAAGAGGGGGTGGAAATATGCAGAAATGTTTTCCAGGGCATTTCCTTCCTTCCACCCCCAGTCTGCTAAAGATACAGCATGCGATACGGTGGCGGCTAGGTCATCCTCCTGTGTTAGCTTTCATGTGCCTGCTTAGTTCCCTGGTAGGAATGACCTCTTACCCTTTCTGCCACTACTTATGCAAACACATGCTGGGTCCAGGAAACGTGCTTTTCATTTTAGCTGCTTCTGAGCTCTGGAGAGCTTGTGTGGCCAGATGTCATGTGGTCAGGGCTCCTGAGGAGACCTCAACTTCCATTTTCTTTTGACATTTTTTTTTAACCTCTGAAATTAATCATTTTCCCCTTCCTCTCTCCCCCTCTCCTTTACCTTCTTCTTCTTCTGCTGCTCTTCCTCTTCTTCCCCATCCCCCTCCTTCTCCTCCTCTTCCTTCTTCTGCTGCTCCTTTTCTTCCTCCTCCTCCTCCTCCCCTTCCTCTTTCTCCTCCTTCTTTTTCTTTTAAGATTTACTTATCTTATGTGTACAAGTGTTTTTACCTGCATGTATGTGTGTCTGGTGCCTGTGGAGGTCAGAAGACGGGATTGGCTACCCTGTAACTGGCATAAGCTGGTAGTAAACTGTCATGTGGGTGCTGAGAACTAAAACTGGGTCTTCTGCAAGAAAAACAAATATGCCAATCACTAAGCCATCTCTCCAGCCCCTGAAATTAAGCTTGATGGTTGCCCAAGAGTTTCACACTGCTAAATGAAATTGCATGCATGTGTTTGCTGAGGAGTCTCTCTTAAAAGACATCCGATGCTCTAGAGCATTTATTCTTGAAGCTTTCTCTTTGGACCTCTATGATGAGTCCTGTTTCTGTTTCATACCGTGTGTGTGTGTGTGTGTGTGTGTGTGTGTGCATGTGCGTGTGTGTGTGTGTACCTAGCAGTGTATGTGTACAGGGGCCAGAGATTGACATAAGGTATCTTCCTCAATTTGTTTCAGTCACAGATTTTTCTATCCCTTCTACCAGAGTTTGAAGGTGTGAGGCCATTCCAGATAACATCTCATCCTGCTGCTCTTTTCCAGTCAGTTGCAAATCCCTGCCTCCCTGGAGGATTTCCACATCCTCCAGAGCCCATGCCTAGGCCCTTCTTCACTATGTTAACAGCAGCAACGTCTCAGGTTCTCTTTTCTTTCTACCTCTCCTTTTCTGGTTCTGTCTGCTCCTGTCCTGACGATGGTGGTCCCATGTCTTCCCACTCCACAGAGTGAAAGTTGGTTCCCACTGCTTACTAGATGACCATGCTCTGTGTCACTGTTCTCAGTGTATGTGTCTGTGACTCCCTGCTCCTGTTTCCTTCTGCAAACAATGAAAGAAATCTATGATACATTGCACATTCTTCCCAGGTACCGCATACCCGGGTCACTACAGTGAATTCAGCGGAGCACATCCTCAGCAGCCCTGGTGTGATGTACAGTTCCCCGAGCAAGCACACTGCCTGTTCTCTATCAGGTCCCTACTGCCCCCTTCCTCTAGCTAGACAAGCCCCGTTTGTCTGGCCTCCTCTTCAAGGCTACCTTTGGGCTCTTCTCCTCACCCTTTGAGAATTTCATTTTTTTTGTGAGAACCTGGTTAGTTACTCCTGGGTCTTTTTATGACTGTTAGTTTTAACTCTTGAATCATAATGCAATTTCCTTAAAGTCTACCAGTTTTTATTTGCTGTGCTAACGCTCTCCAGTGCTGGGTGTGTCTTGTTCCTTGTTGCTGTGGCTGCGATCACAATAGCTAGCCTGAACCTAACAATTACGTGTGATTAGAAATAATTGGAAAAACATCGAACAAGGCCTTGCATGGAATGCTTTGTATGCACTTTGTTATCTAAGTACATGCTAAGTACACACTAACTCACACTGTGTTGCCTTGTTTAGCTGGTCACCAGCTGTGTGTCTCGGGGACGTCACTTTTCTGAGCCCCTGTGTTCTAATCTGCTATTAAGTTTGTTACTCTAACAATACTTAAGGGAAGAATAGGATCATTCTTTTGACTTACAGCTTTTTAACTTTGAGTTCATGACTGTTTGACCCGTTGCTTTGGTCTCGTGGTGACATATCATGGCAGTCATTAGTGATATATCTTGGTGGCAGTACACCGTGAGACAGAGCCATTCTCCCCATGTCTAGGAAGTCATAAAAATGACAAAGAAAGGGGGTGAAGGTCTCACTCTCCTCAGGCACCAGTGATCAGAAAAGAGAGTTCCCACTAGGCCTTACTGCTTAGGAGGTAACATCATCCCCTCTAAATCTCATGAGCTGGGGTCTCCTGGGCTGTGGGTATTCTGTATCTAAACTGTCTGCAGCATTTGTATTTCAGGAATCCATATTGTGCACAGATTTTTCCCCCCTCTGAGAATATGAAACAAACGTGGCACAGTCCCTTTCCCTGTCAGCATCCAGTGTCATAACAGGAAGCCAGGGGTGTCAGAGGGGCAGGAAAACAAGGGGCCAACTACTTCATTAGGAGAAAGTGGGGGAGATGCCTGAGTCCATTGTAATTAGAAGCTTCCTGAGGGAGGAGAGATTTCCGTCCAGTTTAAGGGAGACAGGCGAAGGGATGGGAGTGGGCAGCCTCCTCTCGGCAGGCCTGGTGGGCACAATAAGCCATCCAGTGGGAACGAGGGCAGAGCTGTGTTCAGGACCCCACACCCAGACATTTCGTATGTGCTAAATTTAATATTGTGCTCATACTGATCCTGTGGCAAGATGAAAAAGAGGCCTTCCACTCCATCTGAAAGCTATGTGAACCCCAGAGAGCTGAAGCATTCGGATATCTGAGATGAATGCTTGGATTAAAAGCATTTATTTTGGTATTGCATGCTGGGACTCCTGAACCACAAGGGAACATCCGTTATGAAGACCGTGCTTCTGAGTTTTTTGGTGACGATACAGTTATCAGGACAATTTGTTGACGTTACTAGTCCATAATAATGCCTTTCTTTATTTCAGGGAAAAATTGGGGATTTCCAGACCCTCTTATCAGTCAACTAGATAAAAGCACAGTGGAAAAATAAAAAATAAACACAGACTAGCAGGATGAGACCAGAGCAAAAGCCAGAAATGCCAACGGCCATGAGTACTTCAGAGGTCTGCTCCAGTGCCTGGAGCTCACGTCTCAGCAGAGAAAACAGGGTCTACTTTTCACATTAACAATACAATGTCTCTAAGATTCCAAGCTTAACCTTGGAGCTCCGGCTAATTCCACATTGCTGTGCTCTAAGCCCCTTTCTTTAAAAGCAAGCAACAGTCCAGGCTTTTTTTTTTTTTTTTTTTTTTTTTTGGCCGAATCAGTAAGGCTGCATGCTAAGGCCCCCCAATGATCTTACTTCTAGAAACCCCAGCTCCGAGGCCAAAGAGAGTTTCCTCCATTGGAAAACACAATTGTCATTTATTATTTCCTTTTAGGAAAGGCTTTCTTTCGGTGTCCGCCCCCCCCCCCCATTTCCTCTACCCACTAAACACACTCTTACTGGTTTTTGCCATTTAAGAGGGCACATAGGGTCAGCGGGGTATTTACATTTGGAAGCAATGAAACAGAAATCATGTGATGTGACTACAAGGCCCCCTGGCTGGGTTCTGACCTGCTCTGATGCCCCAACCTCTCTTGAAATTACAGCGTGAAGCAGAATGAACGCTATGGGCAGTTGACTCTGGTCAACTCCACCGCAGCCGACACGGGTGAGTTCAGCTGCTGGGAGCGACTGTGCAATGGCTACATCTGCAGACGGGACGAAGCCAGAACAGGCTCCACCTACATCTTCTTCACAGGTATGTGTTTGGTTCACAGCAGAACTCTTCGAACTGCCGAGGTTACCTCCAAACTGGGATTCCCACTTCACGAAGTAAAGGTGGGGGTGGGGTGGGAAGGCCTTTTTGTTCAGGCTCGGGGCTTAATGATTTTATGTGTGGAGTATTTCAGGTAAGTATTATGACAATCTTTCAAGATAAATACATGTATTACTTCCAGAGTTCCTTTTCCAGATGTGAAACTTGAGGTCTAGAGAAATTAAGAAAATTCTCAAAGTCCCATATAGATGGTACAAAGATTTGAACACAGGACCATCTGATTCAGGGTCTATGCCTATAGTGCCCAATAGGGCAGCCACTTGACACATGTAGCAACTTAGATTGAATAGTAAGTACAATTTATATGCATTCAATTATATAATTAGTATGCATTTTAATAAATTATAATTGCATATTAACAACTACATAGCACCATGCAATTATATGCAAATATGTGATTAATGTGCAAATATCAATAGCGTACATATTAATCAACAATTACATATTAAAATGAAATATAACATTCCTGATTTCAGTCACGCTTGCCTTCCCTCAGTTTGAGTGCTCAATTATGACACTTGGAATTGAAATAGTCTCATAATGGGCTGCATAGGAAGGAAAATTTCTGTCGTGACAAGTTCCACAGTTGCATGGTGTGGCTGTTGGCTGCTCATCCCTGTACTCAGACCTGAGACCAGTTCCTGCTGGAACCTTCATAGTAACAGGATGGGTCACTAAAGACTCCCTTGTATTTGTTCTTATGAGTTCCTGGAGCTGATGCTTCAGAGCAGGATTCCTGAAGTATATAATCCTCGTAGCTTCTATCTCATCTGAGACTAGGAGCAGAAAAACCTATGCATCACAGTGGAGAGCCCCTCCTTCCCTAGGCTGCCAGGATCCATTGACAAGGCAAAGCCTACGCTTTGGTTGCAGGCTGACTCCAAGCCGCCTTCCACCTTGGACCCCAGAGAGCTCCAACACTGAGGGATGAGGTTCTTCAACAAGACTCAAAGGTCAGGGACAACTTTTAGGAATCTTGCAAACTCTGTCTCCTGCTGCTATTGTCTCAGAAGAAGTCAGAAGCCTTTCTTTAGTATCTGTGCAGAGGCTCTCATGAGATTTGTCTAAATCCTGAGTCCGTCTGCCTGGCAGGTCCGTACTGAATTATGTGTATGGCCCAGTGGTCTTCTCCCTCAGCCATTAACCAGTGCATTAGCAACAGCTCGTGCATGTTACCCTTCCTGCTCAAACAGCTCCTCCATGACAAGAAGATACAGCAGCAGGGCTGATTCTCCGGTGCATACCCCATTTCCCTCCTATGATATTCCAAGGACAAGAATTAACTATTTCATTATCTTTGTTTTAGAAAAATACGGATGCCGAGACTTAAAAGGGGAGGATGACTCTTCTAGTAATCTAGGGCTTGTAGTAGCATGTTAAGGAGTCAAACTCATTCTTCTGACCCATGCTCCAGTGCTATCGATCATGCCTTGAGACCTTCCTAGGACAACATGGTAGATGGTCTGATTGGTGGACAGAGAGACACTCGCTAGCACAGTTGCAGCGGTGTGAGACTTTCTAACAGCCATTCATGGGAAGTCCTGAAAGATTTTTATCTCGGGATATGCTACACAGAATTATCTGTGCACCCTTTGTATTATGCTATATGGTAAAGTGCAAGAAAGGGAAACAATTAAGATGCCTAACAGCTTGCTATTCTAGATAAGGATGGGTTTCATATTCAAATTGCAGGCTGAAGAGTCTTTCCCGAGGTTAACACTACAGTGTCTTTCCAACGCGTTAGGTTTCAATCTGAAGATGGCACTGGAACTGTTACAGACTGGTAGGTTAGGGTTCATGGATGCTCTGTGAGTTTTGTAGGTGGCTTCTCTTTACTTCCTAAAGTGGATCAAAGGAGGGCTGAAACATGTGGATTTCAACTTTAAGGAAACTTTTTTTGCCAAGGAAAAGTGAACTTTATTTTTATTTATTTTTATTTATTTATTTATTTATTTAATACTTACTCCCACTCATTGCCCCCCTCCCACAATCTTTCTCCCCCACACTCCCTCTTCTTCTGAAGACCATTTGGGTATCCCCCCACTCCACCCTGGCATATCATGTCTCTGATAGGCTAGGCCCATCCTCTCCTACTCAGCCCAGACAAGGTAGCTCAGCTAGAGCAATACATCCCACGTATAGTCAACAGCTTTGGGGATAGCCCCTGCTCCAGTTCTTTGGAAGACCAGGCTGGGTTAGAGTGTTTGCCTAGCGCACACAAAGACCTGGGTTCTTTTCTACCCCAGCATCATATAAAGCCAGGTTATGGTGGTACATAACCTTTTATCCCAGCTCTCAGGAGAAAAAAGTGGAAGAGCCAGAAGGTCAGCATCATCCTTAGCTACTACATAGTGAGTTCAAGGACCAGCCTTGGCTTACATAAGAACCTGCCCAAAAAGAAAAAAAAGGAGGAAAAAAAGCAAAGATGAGAGAAAGAATGGGGGAGGGAGCAGACAGACAGACAGACCGACACAGAGGTGATACTATTTTGATTTTTTACCCAACATACCCTGAGTCCAGGTAGACTTTCAGTACAGGATTTGGCATTTTGTCTTTTGAAGTGTGAATAGTTTTCAAAAACATCATGGGCTGCTAGAGAAGCTGAGGTTCTGGCTGCTGGCTCAGGATTCCTTCAGAACATATGGTTCTCAGCTATCCACATGGAGAAGCATCTGCCGTGTGTTATGTTTGTGTGTTTCCTAGAGTTTGGGGGAAAACACTGCACATTTTTGTTGGGGGTGCTGCCTGTTGTTAATCTGTAATGCTTGATAAGTGACTGCCACATCTTTGTCCTCTAGGACAGTCTCATGTTCTCTCTTTCTCTTTCTCTTTCTCTTTCTCTTTCTCTTTCTCTTTCTCTTTCTCTTTCTCTTTCTCTCTCTCTCTCTCTCTCTCTCTCTCTCTCTCTCTTTCTCCCTCTCCCTCTCCCTCTCCCTCTCCCTCTCCCTCTCCCTCTCCCTCTCCCTCTTCTTCTCTCTCTCTCTCCACTGATGTATAACATACATAAAGAAAAGCTTCAGGTCCTGAGTACATAGCTCAATAAACTGCCCTCAAAAGAACAGACATGTGTAACCACCACACAGACAGATCAAGGAGGAACAATATTCCAGTGGGAGGTCCTTCTCAATGGGAAATACTTAGGGAATGATTTTCACATGTGGGGAGACCACACTCATAAGTACTTTACTAGACACCAAGTATGCTGTAGTTTGTATTTTAGTTTATAGGCTATTAGCTTTGACTTTTAAAAGTATAAAACTCCATGTGTTAGTTTATAAGGCAATATGATACATGAATAGATACAAGCACATTTGTCGGGGGCGTGTAACCTATAATTTTTTAAAGGAACCTCAACACATTTTAAAGACGGAAGTTACTGCTGTGAGTGGAGGTGGGGTAGAGAGGGAGGGACGACAGGGAAAGAGGGGGGAGAGGTATATATATGCGTGTTTATGTGTAATACTGAGTATTGAATGTACCTAGGGCCTTTCACATGTTAGGAGAGTTATCTACCATTGGGCCATACCCCTGCTATCCAACTATTTTTAAGGCAGTTGATATAGATTCATTCTTTTTCCCAAAGCATACATTGACAACAGAAAATCAGAGTATTTTTGCATTCTGAAATTCAAACTGTTTTCGGAATCTACTGGCTTTGCTACGTGGGGCAGGTAACTCATCAAACCTCACAACCAAAGTCAGCTCTACAATCCTAGTCAGAGAATTCTGGTTTGTTTCCTTTCTTTCTTTTTTTTTTTTTGTTTTATTCTTTGTTTTCTTGAAATGGTAGGGACTGAATGTAGGCCTTCTACATCCCAGGCAAGTGCCCTATCACAGAGCCACACTCTCAACCACTCAAAAGATGTGGCTTTAGTACTATTTACTCTTTACAAATGGAGATTTTATTTTATTATTAATTTTTTGGGTTTTTTTGTTTTATTCTTTTTTAATCATTCCATTCATTTACATCTCAAATGATATCCCCCTTCCTGGTTACCCATCCACATACCCCCCCATCCCAAATCTAAATCCACCCCCCCCTTTGCCTCTATGAGGATGCTCCCTCATCTACCCACCCACTCCTGCCCCACCGCTCCTGCATTCTCCTATGCTGGGACATCAAACCTCCACAGGACCAAGGGCCTCCCCTCCCTTTGATGTCAGACAAGGCCATCCTCTGCTACATACGTATCTGGAGCCATGGGTCCCTCCCTATATACTCCTTGGTTGGTGGTCTAATCCCTGGGAGCACTGGGCGGTCCAACCAGCCAACATTTGTTCTTCCTATTGGATTGCAATTCCCTCCACTCCTCCAGTCCTTCTGCAAGCTCTCCAACCGGGGTTCCCGAGCTCAGTCTGATGGTTGGAACCAAACATCCACATCTGCATTGGTCAGATACTGGCAGAATCTCCCAGGGAACAGACACTCCAGGTTTCTCTCAACAGGTGCCTCACAGAAACAGCAACAGTTGTCAGGGTTTGGTATCTGCAGACAGGATGGATCCCCAGGTGGGGCAGTCCCAGATGGCCCTTCCTTCAGTCTCTGCTTCAAAGAACGGAGGTTTTAAAGCACAGTTAGAGTAACACACCCAAGGCTACATAGATTTTTCTCTGTCTGAACAGGGATTTTGGACACATCAGAAAAGCACTGGTGGACAGTCAATTTACAAAGTAACACAATCACCTTGTTTGGTTAGTATAGACCTTAGCAATGATGGATGACCTTTAAGCTTTCTCCACAGAAGCACATCTGTGTTCCTGAACTTGGTCCAGGGAACCAAAGAACTCCTGCCCTGAAGACCCTTGATGCTGTTTCCAGGAATCCTATGCTCGCCCTGAGTTATCAAACAATGGCAACATGGAAGGCAGGCGAGAGAGAAAGCCAAGCATAATTGCTCGCTTGAGAACATTGAAAGGGAAACACAGGAAACAATTTAACAAGTGTTCTGTGATTAGCCCCAGAGAGTTCTCTCACCAATTACTATAATATCCCTTTACAGAACAATCCAGAAAACAAAGGATTTAATGTGTCACACCAAACCAAACAAACAACATAAGCACGTGCCCCAACCCCAAATCCCTTTGCTGTCTTAGGGATGTTGTAAGACAGTTCTCACCTGTTTCCTGTCTGTGTGACAGGAGTGTCATCTAGGGTTTAAAATCTGACAGGCTGCACTGCAGAAGGGAGTGGCGTGGTATGTGTGTGTGTGTGTGTCTGTCTGTCTGTCTGTCTGATACTGGGTAAAATTTCGAAACTGCGTGGTAGCCAAGCAGAAGTCATCCTTGAGACCCACAGGTTTCCCTCTGCTCCTATCCCAGCCCCTTCCATGAGCCTTGGTATACACTCTATCTTCTGTGTTGGGTGTGAGGAGAGTAACGTCACTATGTGACCCTTCCTGAGGACCTCGACTGTATAAGAAATGCCTTTCTGAATAGCAGTTTCTGACTCTTGTCTATGAGGATCATTCTTTACACAGAAACACAGAACAGTTCAAGGTCTTATGACTGTTTCTTATGGGGCTGGAAAGATGGCTGAGTGGGGAAGAACATTTGCTGTTCCTTCATAGGGCCTGGTAACTACAGCTACAGGGGGAGCCAACATTGTCTTCTGGCTTCCACAGGCGTGTACACACGCATACACTCACACATACACTAAAATCAAACTCTTTTAAATTTTTTATTTTTATTTTTAACGTAAGGAAATCTGTCTCCTTCCTCGCTTCAATCAGTGTGATCCATGGTTCTAAGTTGAAATAACATCCTTATGGCTTTTCCTTTTAGGAGATAGGGGATATAGGTAAGTTACCCTTCCAAAGCCATGATAAAAGGACCTAAGAGAATTAATTTCCCAAGAGAAAAGTTTTGGAGGTTCATGTCCATGATCAGTTGACCTCGTGTGTTGAGATGGTTGTCATTGGCAGAGAGAGAGAAAAGAAGGCTAGTATCTTACAAGTTCCTTGAAGAGCATATATCTACTAACCTAAAACCCTCCCACCAAACCAGAGTAACTTCCAATAGCCAAGCCTTTAACTCACGAAACTCTAGGGGCCAGTCAGCATCTAAATTATAGCTAAATAATAGGATACAGAACAATCCCCTACTTTTTTTTTGCCAGCCTTCTCTTAGAGATCCAGTGTGCTTGTCAGTATTGTCTCATCTTTGTGCTGGTTTTAAGAATCATCAAGACAGCTGGGCAGTGGTGGCACACACCTTCAATTATAGCACTTGGCAGGCAGAGGTAGGTGGATTTCTGAGTTCGAGGCCGGCCTGGTCTACAGAGTGAGTTCTAGGCCAGCCAGGGCTACACAGAGAAACCCTGTCTCGAAAAACCAAACCAAACCAAACCAAACCAAAATAAAAAAGACAGAGGTGACATTTTGGGCTGGAGAGGTTAAGAGCACTGACTGCTCTTCCAGAGGTCCTGAGTTCAATTCCCAGCAACCAAATGGTGGCTCACAACCATCTGTAATGGGATCTGATGCCCTCTTCTGGTGTGTCTGAAGACAGTGTACTCACATGAAATAAATAAATTGTCAGCTACGCCAGCATAGCTGACTGAGTTCCTTGGATCAGTGGAGGGCTGAGGGCGAGAGAAAGAAAGAGAGTCATCTGGTAAAGAACCAAATGCTATATTTTCAACTATGAAGCTCCCTTTTATACTCCCCACAAAATAGGAACACGAACAAGAACAGGGATCAAAACAGGAACAAGGAGACACACTTGGCAGCCTACCACCTAAGTTTGGATTTCTCCTTGAGCAGTCTTCTTAGGGAAATGCATAGAGATGAAGGATCAGGCATAACAGCACAGGTGCAGAGGATGGCGACTCACAATAAATCTTGAAAAAAAAAAAGAATCATCAAGACACCCTCTCTTCATTTTTTTCTAGTCATTAAGCCTGTGTCTTCTCCTCTGCAGAGAAAGGAGAGCTGTTTGTGCCTTCTCCCAGTTACTTTGATGTTGTCTACCTGAACCCGGACAGACAGGCCGTGGTTCCTTGTCGAGTGACAGCACCCGCAGCCAAAGTCACGCTCCACAGGGAGTTTCCCGCCAAAGAAATCCCTGCCAACGGAACGGACATTGTGTACGACATGAAGAGAGGCTTCGTGTACCTTCAGCCTCATTCCGATCACCAGGGTGTGGTCTACTGCAAAGCGGAAGCCGGGGGCAAGTCTCAGATCTCCGTTAAGTATCAGCTGCTCTATGTAGAGGGTGAGTCTGCCTTTGTCCTCCAACCTAGATTGCCACTGCCTGCTTGTTGGGAGGGAAATACAAAGACACCGGGTGGGATGATGGTCTAACATCTGTATCCCCTACTCCACATCCTTCTCTCGTTCTGCCTGTGTTTGATTGGCAAGTCTCTTCCGTCCTCAGTCTCCCCTTAGGATTCCTCAGCCTCTCCTAGCATCACCAGCCACTTCCCACGGTGGGGCTGGCATCCTGGCTGTGCCCATTACTACTTCCGGTCCGTGTTTTGACACTCTCCCTTAGGAACTTCTGCTCCTCCACAGCAGCGAGCTGTGCTTCCACTAGTCTTCTCATTTCCTGTCACTCCCTGCCTGGGGACAGTTGTCTTTCTTGCCATTACGTTCAGGATGACCTCAGTGTCTCCTGGAACCCGTTGGCCTGTTTATCAGCCGCCGTTGTTGTTCTACCCTCAACTTGAACACGCTGACAAAACACAGAGGATGTAGGTCTCATCCTTCGCTCCCCCAGCCCCAACCTCGGGCACTCCTCTTTGCAGCTCACCACTCACAACTGTCCCAAGGCTTTTCGGCCCTGGGTTGATGGCACAGAGATGGGCTAATGAGCAAATCTTTCTACAGAACCGCGTAATGCTTCTCTTCCTTGACAGTATTCTCCTGAGTCTAGCTCAGTTCTTCCCCCATTTGCTAGAGAGTGTGCCCTACCCTGTTCCCTGAAATTGAGGAAAAGAAGTGATTCCTTTTATGCTGTAGCCCCTCCAGTATAACCTGTGTCTCCTGAGAACTCTTGCACTTATGAAGGAAGGAGAGGGGTGTAGTAAACTTCTCTGCAGCAAGGTGCTTCCCTGTGGACAGAAGTCTATCTCCCAAGTTAGCTGCTTTTAAAGACAGAATTTGGGTTCAGTAATTTCTTCCATTCTCTGCCGAGGACTTATTTGGTAGGCCAGAATTTCTAATATTCTAAACAACCCTAATAATCCTGCTTGACAGCCCCCAACTCTCCATGGAGGTCATCTCTTTCCCCACCATAGCCAAGTACTCTGAAAACTTTTGTATTCCCCGACTCATCTCTCCCTCCCTTCATCCCCATGTGATTGGCTGTTCCCTCTGTACATTGTAAAAACCACCTTTGCTAAGGACCTCAGGAGTCCAGTGTCATAACATCCAGCAGATGGCATGTGTCATCTTCCTACTAGACTTCACTTCTAGAGTGAAATCCCTTTCACCTTGACCCCTTTTGATTTCCAGTTTTTAAAAATTTTATTAAGAGATTTATTAATAATTTGAAAAAGTAGAAAAATTTTATATGCATGGATATTTTGCCTGCATGTATGTATAGAGGTCAAATGTGTGCAGTTCCCAAAGAGGCCCGAAGAGGGCGATGGATCACTTGGGACTGGAGCGGCTTGGGTGCTGGAAATCAAAGCCAGGTCCTCTAGAAAAGCAGCAAGGGCTCTAAACTGCTAATCCATCTTTACAGCCCCCCCCCTCGCCTTTGCACTTCCATTGTTTTGTTTGGGGAGCAGAATAGGGGGTTGAACCTGGAGCCTCATGAAAACTAAAAAAACTACTCTAGCATTTTAAGAATTTAAATGTGGAAGCACCTAAGGTGCCCTTCTTTCTTTATGCCTTGATCTCTTTCTACCCATAGCTGTGAACTAAAAATTTCCTGCATGTGCATCTATGGCCCAGGTCTGTAAGGTAAGGACCATGTGACCAAGTAGCATCTGTACTCACATGCTCCAGAGGACCCTCAATGCCCCCAGTCCCATGCCCATCAGCAAACGCGGTATTTCCCTGAAGGCCTGGATCACCCATGCCATCTATCTCAGGGATGGTTGCTTGTCACCTTGTGTGAATGGCCACACCAGAAATCAACGCTTTAAACCTCGTTACGTTAGTTTCAGATCTGTTTCTAATCCCTGATCCAACTACTCGTGCTATCATCATTTCTGGCTCTACTACTAAGAGTACCTTCCTCCCATAATCATGCCCACTTCATTTTCCAAACCATGTTCTGCATGGTTGCTGACTACAGTTCCAATCAATACATTCAGCCAAGTTCTTACCTACAGAAACACAAAGTCCTGACAGGCCTTGCGTGGCTGGCGCCACTGCTCCGGCCTTGCTGTCCTCTCCAGAGTCACCTCATATTACCTCACAGACTGCTCAGAAACCCTTCTGTGTCTCTTAAGCTCAGTACCGAGACTTCAGTTTAGCTGCTTGCCTGATTCTCAGTCCATGTTAACTTGAGGCACACACTCTGGGCTTCTTCCAAGTTCAAATGAAGCATTACAGTTGCCCGCTTAGTGGCTGCTCAACTCTGCTAGAGTGTAGGCTGTAAGTGTTCAATCCACCATCCGTCTGCTTGCTCCTATAGTCCCAGTTCTTAGCCCATCTATCTCCTTGCTAAAGGCTGCCATGAAAATCACCCATCGCGTGGCCTGACCATGATAAAGACATGTTTCTAAATGTTACGGTGTAAGGGTACTGTACTAGAAACACAGGTAGCACTTGTGCTGTCCTGCAAGCAAACATTTTTCTCATTTGCATATTTGAACCACTTCTGATGACATCACATACATGTTTGCCCAGCTCGGCTGTTTTCACTTACTCATTCCCTAGTATTACCTGCTATTAAACCTCTTCTGTTTCCACACATCCCTGGTCAACTTGTTAGCTCCTCCCCTCACCACAAGCATGGGAGTGGGGAGCTTGAATTCTGGATGACTACCCACTTCTGGATTACCAAGGTAGAGAGACAGAGGCAGCGTTTCTCAACCCGTACGTTGTAACTCCATTGGGATTAAACAACCCTTTCACAGGGGTCACCAAAGACCATCAGAAAACACAGCTATATAAATCATGATTTGTAACAGATGCAAAATTAAAGTTAGGAAGTAGCAGCAAAAATAATTTTAGGGTTAGAAGTCACCAGAGCATGAGGTCACAGCATTGGGAAGGATGCGGACCACTGTCCTAAGGCAATCATCAAAAGGAGTGTCCATCATTGGCCTCATGAAAAGGTTTCCTCTCCCCACAGAGAACGTATGTTGGTCTTTTCCATCAGTTATGGGTCTCATTGCCCTGTCTCCTGCTTTTTCCCAGTTCCCAGTGGCCCTCCATCAACAACCATCTTGGCCTCCTCCAACAAAGTGAGAGGCGGGGATGACATCAGCGTTCTCTGCACTGTCCTAGGAGAGCCTGATGTTGAGGTAGAATTCAGATGGATTTTTCCTGGGCAGAAGGTAAGCGCCACACTCGAGCCTCAGCTAGCTCTCACTTAGTGGGAGAGACCCTACAAAACTTATGATATCTCAGTCCACTTCAAAATAGCTTGTTTTAGAGAAACTGAGGAAAAGGAGCAGATGGCTGTATCAGGCAGTTGCTTAAGATGCCTTTGAATGTCCAATGGTCATTGGTCCTCCTTAGGGATGACAGCACGAAGCAGGCAAAGTTACTTATCTCAACTTCAGCTTTCAATCATCATCTTCTAGGTCTACACTAGGCTGTTCTAACCTCTTCAAGGAATCTTTCACAATGCACAAAGTTTCAAAGACATGAGTGGGAGAAAGATAGGCACCCACAAGTCATGGATCCCTACATAAGCTCTGTGCAGAGCTTTGGAACAGACATTCTCCAAGGGGGCATTTAAACATAGACCCTGTTCACAAGGTGATATGAGGTCAGCATCCATTTAAAAACAGAAGTCTTCTTTATAGACTTCTATAAAAGAAGTCCTTGGTCTGTGTACATTGTCTGCTCACTGAAATAAACAGCTCTGCTACCAACTTTGTTGCCAAAGGAGACACTCCCAAGACACTCTCGGTAGCCAGTGCTCTTCGAAGTCTGTGACGAGTGGAAAATGATTCCCCAGAGGGCAGAACTTTCCAGCATCTAGATGCTAGGTTTGTTGTTTTAAATACATTGTTACACTTAGACATTCTTGCTTTTCCATAGGATGACCTTTTACATTGTTATTATTAGGAGAAAAATCGAAAAGGCATTAAGTGATATAATTACCCTTATGTGAACTTAGAAAACACTGTTCTCATTCCTGCAACTGCCTGAAATAGATCTTACAAGCCACCATCTTCTAGAATAGATGCTCATGCTGTCTAAGGCATTATCTTAGCCTTCTTAGGGAGGAAGTTGGCAGTGGGAGGGTGATACAATGGAAAAAAGATTCTGCCTATGCATTTGTGCTTAAGCCGGTCCCCCATAGAGGCCGAAAATAATTCATCTTACATATATAAAGAGCAAAAAAGAAATCACCAAAAACAGCATCCTGAAATTCAAGACTCCACTTGGGGGAAAAAAAAAAAGGCAGCGTTGAGTAATTATGCAAAAAAAAAAAAAAAACTTATATGAGCTCAGCACACTAACCAGCCTTCAGTGAGCTCTAGCTGAATGGGTAGGGTGGATGGGAGCTGAGGGAAGCAGCTGTCAATCTGGTTTCAGTCTGTGTGCCGTCTTTAAACAGGACGAAAGGCCTGTGACCATTCAAGACACCTGGAGACTGATTCACAGAGGACTGGGTCACACCACAAGAATCTCCCAGAGTGTCATTACTGTTGAAGACTTTGAGACCATTGATGCGGGCTATTACATATGCACAGCTCAGAATCTCCGAGGACAGACCACAGTAGCTACTACTGTTGAGTTTTCCTGATTTGGAAAATGAAGAGTGGACCAGTAGGATGCCCATCTGCACACACAGCTTCTCGGTGCTTTATAGAAGGCCAAGGGCCAACCCCTGCCAGAGGGTCAGACAGACATCCAAATGAAAAGGAAGTCATTAGTCTAGTATAAACTTTTCTAACAAAGTATGTATTTTGATTCAGCCATGTTTCTACTTTTTATACCAAGAAAACATGTCAACAACTTTGTATCAGTCATTTCTATTAAATGAGCAGGATTTTATAAAAAAAAAATAAATGAGCTAAGTATTGTCTCATTTAGCGTGTATATCGAAAAAGACTTGACAGCAATCGGTGTTGGTGCTTCGTATTCCGTTTGATGTTTGAACCAAAGTTCAGCTACTGACAAGCAACGACTCAAGATTCAGATGCTTAGATATGTCACTTTATCAAAGCTAAGTGAGTTCATTTATAAAGGTATCAAAAATCACATCTTTTTACATTAAATTGCCACACTCGGAGTACTGATTTTAAATTCCTCTATTCAAAATAACTGCATGTACACTATTAACAGTTTAGCCTTTAACATAACATAGATGAACAGACTGAAGAAGATTCAGCTTTGGTGAAGACCCTTCTTCAAAAATACTTAGACCACAGCTCTTCCAATTTCCTTACGCCTTGCACAAGAACTTGTTTAAACTAGTCAAAGTTTAGGTCTCTGATACATGTATTTTGAATTTTGAAAAGCTTGACCTTAAGCTGGCCACAACAAATTTTAGCATTGGGGACCTGATTTAACTAAGGAGGGATGGGAAGGGGTATACATAACCTAACACTTTGAAGAGTAAAGTATGTCAGGCTGCCATTCTTACATTGAATATTCCAGCACTATTTATTTGATCAAAGTAAAATACACTTTCCATTGCTATAAACCACAGTTATCCATACACTCATTTTTTTTTACGATGTGTCAACAATTTTGTATTCTACACAAAACGTTTGGTTTAAAAAACAAACCTTAAATAGAGACCTATTGTCTCTCTCGTCTTCTATGCTCTTTAGGCATTTTAATTGCTATAAGATTTGACTTCCCAGACATCTAAGTGGTATGAGGGATGGTAGGTAATTGCATGAACTTTACCATAACTAGGGCGTAAATGACAAACCTGACTTTGGCTACAGTCATTGAGAACAACTTGGGACCAGGAGCAGAGATGTTCCAGGATGTGGCAGTGAAGCTAGATTCCTGTTTATCAGGAGCAAACATGGAAGGTGACATACATCACAAACTATTAGAGATAAGAGACTTCAAACACAACCACTAATAAAAAGCATGCATCATGAACATCAGTAAGCTATGTAGTGTAGAGGTCTAGGATGACTCCAATAACCACCTCTAGTGTCCTGCATCTGTCCTTGCTATAGGGGTTATTTGACCAGCATTGACCATGGATTAATAAATACTGGCATCGAAATGCACATGCACAGGGAAGCTCGTGGGTTGGGTGGTGAGGAGCCACAGCTATCCTTCTAACTGAAAGTCTTGGAGTCTGGGGAGATGGTAAGTGAACATCTGAAATGTGAAGGAGTTGCATGAGCCGTACTTCTCACTCTCTGGCTGGCCTGTTGCATTCCAGTGGCAGGAAGACTGCTCAGAGGGGCCCAAGTCAGCATCACTGCTGACTCAGACTCTCTTGGTCGATTCAACAGGGAACTGTTGGCTAAACTCGGTGCTTGTGTGGATTAGTACATGCTAAATGCCTTTACTGATTTCCCCCAGGGGTTTCCAAAATTTTGTAGTGTCTGAACCAGAGCTTAGCTTATTTGTGAAATAGATTCAGCACCTCAAAGCTAAACTGGCCCTGGAAAAGCACATTCTGTAGTTAGGAAGGAGGTAGGTTTGCCTCTGTGGCTCTACATGGAGGACGAAGGAAAGGTGGAGGTTAGAATAGCAGGAGGGAAGAGAGAGGGTTACCTCTGTGAAGATAGCTTGGACTCAAGGGGAAAATAAGTCAAACATCCATTGGTACTGCCCCCTTATTCTTTATACAGATTGGTGTTTAGAAAAATTAGGGTACTACATTTGCTCATAGCCTGAGAAAATGAATCAGAGTATAGTAATTAGGCTCATAAAAATTCTACTGGAAAAAAAAATCAAACTGGTATCAATGGATAATGCTGAATACGGAAAAACTAACAACAGAGAAATGTACAGACATCAACAAACCAAAGGCTTTTCCTGTCTTGCCCTAGCCCTGCCGTGTCACAGTGCTGAGACAAGTTGGGAGAAATTCAAGCACTATTGCTTTCTCTTCTATGGCTTTTGTTGACACGTATGTGCTGATTATGACTTGATTAATACAGGCCAAGCTATATGCAACTGTTGACTTTTAATACACAGCAGAGGAAGGGCTATGACAGTCACGTGACACACCAGTACACCCATTTCACTCACACACAACCCTTGCCCACAGTCAGACCAAAATAAAAATCACAAGAAGGTGTCTCTGGTGAAGAACATTATAAAGGTTATAAATCTTTATCTTAATAGGCCCCTGAGAGTTTTCCCCGTATGCTTAGGTGAAGGAAGGCAAAGAACAAGGTTCTCTCATTCCGTAAGTGCTTTGTGCAACTATGTCCACATCAGGTCCAAAATCTGTTTTTGGAGGAGGCTTTTGGACAGGTTAAAAGTCTTCCTCTGGAGCTCTCAATTCTTAAAGAGCTGATACAGTTGGTGGCTGCTCTCTGGTTATCCTGTGGACATTCCAGAAAGCTAATGCAGCTTGAGTTCCTATGAGACGGTCAGTCCTCCAGAGCTGCACCTCAGTGCCTTCAGAGAGTCTCCTGTGTTCAGAAACCGTCATCTGGGTGAGATGCTTGGGCTGGAGGAGGAACCAGAGTTCCTGGGGGACTGGAAAGGGATGGCTGAGGAGGTGGGGGATCTCTTGGGGCTGCAGAGGTCGCCATTGTGCAGCTTCCACAGAAGCTCCTCATTCTCCATGGACAGTCTCTTGTTGACCTTCGACTCCTTCTCAAGGGACTCCTGCAGAGCTGCCTGCTCTGTGGAAAGTTGCCTTGAAAACAAAACCCAGAGATCACGAGGAATCCAAGTCAAAAAGTAACTACTACTGTTTACATCCGAAGGTTCAAGAAGCTTCCTCTGGGGAAACAAACAGGATCTTGTCCAGGGTCATCGATTTTTTTTTTCCTAATTCTTCTCAATACATATATATATATAATTATATTTCATCCTCACCATAGTTAACTCCTCCCTGCTCTCTTCCCACACATACCTCCACCCCTCCCATTTCCCTTCAGAAAAAAGCTGGCCTCCGGGGACTATCAACCAAACACAGGGTCTTGGTTTGGCTTTTTGGTTTGGTTTTTGGCTTGAGACAGGGTTTCTCTGTGTAGCTCTGGCTGCCCTGGAACACACTCAGATGACCAGGCTGGCCTTGAACTTAAAATGTTAGTATTCTGTCTAAACTCCAGCAGCCAGGTATGCTCCACCCCACAGTTAGTTACCTGGCAACAGGCAGGTAGGCCTGCCCACTATAAAAGGGGCTGCCTGTCCCCCTCCTCTCTCTTTTGTTCTCTCTTGCCCCCTTCCTCCCCTCCCCCCTTCCCTTCCTCCTCTCTCCACTTTGTCATGGCTGGCCTCTACTCCTCTACTTCTCTCCTCTCTCTCCTCTCTCTCTCCTCTTCCCTATCTCCTGAATAAACTCCCCCTTGTGGAACCCTCTGGTCTGCTGTGGTCTGTTCCAAGCTGCGCACAAAAAATCTAACATAAAAGACCTGCCTGAGGCAGTCCAGAGTGCTGGGACAAAAGGGCATGTGCTGCCACCAGCATAAGTGTCATGGATTTTTAAGCTGAGAAACCCAAATACCACAGGGAGCCATATAGTTGGGTGGGAGAGGACTTGCCTAGTATGTGTGAGGCCCTGGCTCAGGCCTGTGCACCACAGAAAGGGAAACAAAACTCTCAAATACCAGAACCTCAAAGCCTGACCCAAATAAATAATCCTATGAGTAATTGCTGGCAGCTCTAGTGTTTGGGAGATTTCCCAGTAGGCAATGGGGCACTTGCACAAGGCCTGTTTTATTTCTTTTCACGTATGTGGTTACCCCTTCTCTGACAGAGCTCCAGTGAGCTCCAGGTAGGTGAGAAGGTGGAGGGTACCTTGGTCAAAGCATGAACTGTCATCTGTTCCTCTCACATGCCTGGGAGGTGCCCAGTGGAGCGTACCAAGAAGGGACAGTAGACGTTCAAGGATGAGGGAAGGGGAATAGACTCTTGTAGTTTTACCTTGAAATTGCCATGTGTTTATCCATGCGAGCTTTTAACTCCTCGTTTTCCTGCTGGAATCGCTTCAGCTTGTCAACCAATGCCGTGTTGTTGTCCACCTAAGTATAAACAAGGTTTGTAGTCAAACGAATAAACAAACTCTCACTTCTTAAGCATAATCCCGATACACGAGACCGTCAACAAGTTGAGTGGGAGGAACTGTAGTGGCACGCTGATGATGTCTTTATACACAGACCAGTGGCGGACGGAAAATAAAGCAGGAAACGGGACATCTAGGACACGTGGTGTTCTTCACACCACATAAAAAAAAGGATAGCTAGGTAGTAATGTCTTTCTCCCAGGTGACATTTTCAGAATGTCCCCCTGGGAGCTGGTGTCCTGCCAAGGTGACCTTGGGTGCTGGGCCTCTTCCCAAGATGGTAAAGCACACACTGCAGTTTAACTGTCTCGGGTCACTATTGTAGCCCCTGTATCTACAGCAGTCTTGTACACATACACAAAAGGGAAGGGAGTAGGGAGTGGGGAGGGGGGAGACCTAGAGACAGAGAGATGGTAGAAGGAAGGAAGAAAAAAATGAAGAGACAGAGGAAGGAAGGAGAAGAGGAAAGGAGGGACCCGTAGGAGGGAGCCTATAAGTCTTGGCCATATTGAAGAAAGCCTTAAACTTATTCCAGGTTAATTTCCCAACTTGACGCGACCTTAGAATTACCTGAGAAGAAAGCCAATGAAAGACTGTCTATTTATCAGGCTGGCCTGTGGGCATGCCTCCCGGGGATCGGCTTGATTGCCTAACTGTGAACAGCACCGTCTGGTAGTGACTCAGCCACAAGGATGTGGAAGAGAGGAGCTTTTGAGTCTTTCTCACCGGGGAGCCTGTGTGCCACGCTGCTGCCGATTCTGTCCCTGATATCAGAACCGGCGCATTTTTGGCTTCCAGGGTGGACTGATGATCAAAAGGCTCCCCAGAAGTTCCACTGGCCGTTGGCACCAGATGGGAACTGCAGAGGCACCCAACCTTGTGGGCTGAACAATTACCAGGCTCTTAGCCTCTCCGGTAGCCATCGCTGGTCTACACTAAGCTCATCATGTAAGCCAATCTTGCAAGTCTTCCTTAAATATATCACCGTGTCAGCTCTGTTCCTTTAGAGAGCCCTAACAGACTAAGTGTTCTATTTTCTCTAAAGACCTGGAGCAGCTAAGCACGCAACACAGCAGTGGCAACAGGTATACCCATTGTCATAGCAACCTTTCTTCCTGTAAAAACAACAGGGTGGTGCCGACTGGCACTGTTAGGATGCCTCCTCGGTTGGGGCACAAAACAGAACTATCATGGCTCCATAGAAATTAAAATGTGTTTGTACTTTTACAGCAGGGCCTTGTATCACTTGAGATCTTCTGATAAGTTCAGGTACATGAATGGGAGATGGCGCAACACATTGTTAACAGGAGTTCCTGAGTCATCACTGCCGGCCTGCTGAGCAGGTGTCACAGGCTGACCTTTGCCAAGACCCGCTGTGTGCACTGGGTTGGGCCTATTAACAACTACGAGTTAATAGGCAGGCATTCCTTTAAAAAAAAATCCACTTCCTGTACTGCTGGTACCTCCAAGATGGGCAGAGGTGAAGGGTCCCAGCTGTACGAATCTGGTACCCTTCTGACCCCTACATGAGAGATGGGATGTATTCTCTCAAACAGGAGCAGGCCTGGACTTAAATGCCAGTTGAGAGAGTTCCTTAGTGGCTTGGGAGACAATATGCTTCATGGTGGGCAAGAAAGCAATCAATCACGAACCCAGCCAAGTCATGACTGCCAACTGAACTCACACTGAGCCACTCCCTGGTTCCATTCACAGAAACAGTGGTTGAGGTGTAGGCCTGGTCTACACTCACGCCACTGACATCAGGGGGGTCTTTATTATGACTGCACTCAAATCAACTCCAGTGAGCCCTTGCCTTCACGTGTTTCTCAACAGACTAGACTAGACGGCAGTGTATGCATGTTTATCATCTTGGTTCCACATACGAGAGAAAATGACATTAGTCTTTCTGGGTCTGGCTTTTTTCACTTAGTAGGATAATCTCCGACTCCAATTATTGTTGCAAATGACATAATTTCATTCTTCATTATGGCAGATCCAAACTCCATTGTGTATTAAAAAAACAAAAAGCGAACCCTCCCCCCACTCCCACATTTCCTGAAGTGAGGTAATGCCTGCATGTTCCCTTTAAGCATTGCCTCCCTCAAAAAAGCAGTTAATTATCTCTAGGAAACAAAACACCAAACTAAGCCAATACCCCAAAACAAAAAGCCAAACAGATAAGAGTAACCTCTACGCTCCCTATTGTTCAAGGCTAGCCTTACTTTGAATGAGGCTTTTCTTCAAAGTGTAGTGAGTCACCCACTACCGGGTGGAGGAGACACTCACAGCCTTGGGTGGCTGGCAGTTGGGAGCAAAGTACAGCAAGCAACAGCTAGGGTCACTTAAGCTGCTGAGAAATCCTTCCAGCTTGGTTCATGTCCAGGTTAGCAGATTCTGAGTTTCAGGGCTGGACCAAGGCTGACAGTACACATCAGGCACACCCCCCTCAAACACAGCATGGAATAGGTTCAAATTCTGATTATGGCTTTCGGCAATGCTTGCTGTTTTCCAACTGGGCTAATAAACACACAATTCTTTTATCATATTTCAAATTCTTAAAAGGATACGGAATGCTAATAGATTCTGTGGTACCAGTGAAGTTAACTGATAGTATCCAACTGTCCTTCTGTCCAGAGTGGGTGCTACATTAACATACTGGTTTTAGAATAATTAGGTTTTTTTTTTTTCATTAGGTAAGTGAAGGTCCATAGACTATTGAAATGTGAACCTGATTTGTTATAATTTTTCCAAAACTAGATGCTGCTTTGCATGCACTCTATAAAAAAAAATATAAATAACGCTCTAGAAAACAGCAATGGATCAGCTCTTAATAAATCTGGGAAAGAAAATGCAACACTGACCCTTTGTGTACTTTGTAAATACCATCAAGTACAAGTTAGCTCAACGCCACAGTTCTAAAGCTCTAAGCTCTGCCTTCCTAGTTCCCAGGCAACACCACCACACATGGCCACGTGCATACGCACGCATGCGCAGGAGGCGCTCACTCCGTCACCCGGGAGACATACCAGCTTTTCCATCTTCATTAACTTCATATCCTGCTGATGTAGCTTCTCATTCTTGATCTCTAACACAGCTTTCAGGCTTTCTAGTTCTTGCTCCAGATACATGACCTGAGGGTTTTTCTGGAAAAAAAAAAAAGCACACTAAGATAACTGCTCTGACTTATTTCAGAATTACACAGTCCAACCTCTTGATACACTGATTCTCTCATTAGACTTAGAGAAACAAGCAGTAAGTGACTTACTCCCTTGACTGACTCGATATTTAACAGTAATCCTCCTGCCTAGCTTCCCATTGCTGGGATTATAAGCATTCCTTGACATGGCCAGCTAAATGTAAGTTTCTTTCCCTTTTTTTGTCTTTTTTGATACAAGGTCTCTCATCTTATAGTCCAGGCTGACCTGGGACTCATTTGGCCCAGTCTACCCTTTAATTTATGGCTATCCTCTTGTCTCAGGTTCCCAAGAGCCAGAATTATACAGATGAGTCACCATGCCTAGCTTAACTTCTTATTGTAGTTTCAAAGAAGTAAAAAAGAATTTAGGATCCTTTTAACCTCAAAGACTTTGGTATTGAAAACAAACTTATTTTCCCCTAGTTATTTAGTACGGTGGATACAGCTTCCATCAGATCTCTTAGTGAGCTTTCTCCAGTCCTAAAGTGGTCTCTGGAGGGAGAAAAGGAAACAGTAGTTTTCTCTAAGCAAAGTCAGTACCTGAGGAGAAACACAGGCAAAGACAGTGCCATATGCAGGACTCTGGGAAATGACACACAGCGATAAATGTCCTGAACCTCTGGGCTTTCTTCATGGTTACATTGGCTTGGCCAAAGCTCTAGGGCAGCCATAACACTACCACAGAACACATACAATTTCCTAAATGGACACTTGTGATACAACTAATGAGAAGTATCCCAACAACCCACTCCTGGTCTGATGGAAATTCAACTGAACCACTCAACAGTTTGATATAAATCAACTCAGCTCTCTCTTTCTGTCTCTGTATGTATATGTGCATATATTAAATATATATATATACACATATACATATATACATAAATATATACATATACATATGTGTGTGTATGCACGTGCATATATATATATATATATATATATATATATATATATATATATATATA